CTGGGATGAAGTTCATCAGAGCCTGCTGACTTGAACCACTCCGTTTCCAACCTCTCCATTCTTGTGCTCAAAGGGAATTTACAAAGCACCTCCAGGAAGATGGCCCTTGGGAACAGAAATTCATAACTCAACTGGGCAATCAAAAAACTGGATAGTGGTTTTATAGCTCATTTCAACCTAACAAATACTGCCAATACTCTTCCTGATCTTCACAGATAATAACCACCCTTTTCTTGAATGGTCTTCCTCTTGCCACTAACTAGATTACCTGTTCCACTGCACTTCCTTTGTCTTATAAAAGCTCCTGTTTTCACACCCTCCTCCATCCTACCCTCCAAGCAGACTGCTTACATGTGTGTTTAGTTCAGTCTGTGTCTGCTTTTCTCTCAGATGTGAGGAAGGGCACTTGATCCTGGAAAGCTTGTCCAACAGTTCTCTCAACTCTACAGTTGTGAGAGAAAAAATATCAGAAAAAATCCTTGCCTCAGACATTTTTGGGACCCCCAGAAAAACACTCAAACCCCACTATATTATATAAGAAATGTTTATAAGCTTTCTCATCGCTGTTAACCAAAATATAGAAGATTCAAAAGATAATATCTGACTTTGCAAGGTGGAGAGAAACTAAAATTAGCCGTATTTTAAGTTGCATTTTATTAATATGTGCTATTATATGAAATACCTTATAATGGGCATATCTACATGATATGCTTTACTGTGCAGTAGAACATATTACTGTGCAGTAAGCATCACTGTCTATACATGCAGATGCTTACACCGCAGTAATTTGCTCTTCTCTAGCAAGGAGCTCCTGGCCCTGGCTCCCTGCTTCTGGGACAGGGGGATGTTGTCACAGCTTGGGCTCCATCATTGGAGCCCACCCCAGCAACAGGCATGTCCTGGGGGCAGGGCGCAATCTCCCAGCCCTGCTCCAATCACGGAGCTTCCTGCACAGGGTGAGTTCCCCACCCAGCCTGGAGCTGGCTGGGACCTGCCCCAGACTGAGACAGTTCCTGGCCAGCCCTGGTCTGCAGGGGAAGTCTGCCTGTGCAGACCAGAGCTGGCTGGGACCTGTCCTGTTTTGGGCAGGTCCCTCCTGCACATGCAGACTTCCTCATACAGCCTGAGGCTGGGCAGGAACTGTTCTGGTCTAGGGCAGGGCCTAACCCCATGGCTCTTTCCCAGCCCCCTGCCCTGATCTGCCAGTGGGGCAGCTAGCAGTGAGCCCCCAGCTGAGCAGGGAATCCCCACCCAGCTGGGAGCTCACTGTTACCTGCCCCACTGGTGGGACAGCTCCCAGCTGCCCTCGACTGAGCAGGAAAGCACCTCTTCCCCCATAGCTTTAACCCAGCCCTTTTGGGAGCTTCCTGCTGCTGGGGCAGGGGAACATTGTCCCAGCCTGGGCTCTGCCATCGGAGCCTGCCCCAGACGCAGGCAGCTCCCAGGGGCAGGGAGCAGTTTCCCAGCCCCCACCAGGCCCCTGGGCTAGCACCCAGGGGGAGTCGAGTTACCTCTGGTTGCTGAGGGAGACAGAGCAGGGTGGGAGCAAATCTGCTCACAAATGTCTGCATGTGTAGACGTCTGCCCAGGGTAGGTTTACTCCGCAGTAAATTACTGGGGAGTAAATCCATCCGGCAGCATTTGTGTGTGTAGATACGCCCAATGTGGGGTAACAAAATTTTTAATTGGAGCTTTTTAATATGGTCTACTTCAGTGTTTCTCAGTCTTTTTAGATTCCAGGCACCCCTTGTTCAACTCAGGAAAATGCCACCTTTTAGGTTGCATTCATTTTTTGGCTGTGGGAAAAAACAGCAATTCTTCTCTTGGAAAGAACTCAGAAAGACCAAGACAGGTTAAAGTATTTTTGACACTATGGATTCCTGTTGTACATCTCTTCGGTTTATCTTGTGAATCATGCAAAAAAAAATTTCACACCTAACAGTGCTAGTATTGTGCAGTGCACTGGTGCCACAGGACCCTTGTTGAGAATAATTGGTCGACTTAATACATAGTGATTTCATTGCTGACCTGTAAAATGGCCATGCCAAACTCATGCCTATAATCCTTTATATATTACCAAGGCATGGGTGCATAATATATTTTTATAAATAGGCATATAAAATGTCATGGCGGTAGACAGTGTAGTTTTATAGAGCCCTGTTCTACAACTTAGAGCTAGCTGTCAAAAAAGATTGATAGTTGGCATCTTAATGAGTTCATTCATTTCCATTGTTTTATTGCTTGTTATCACTTACTGAAGTTCTCTAAGCAATCTGTGACTTGTAGATTTTATCAAATGAGATAAAGACAAAAATAACAGGAGTTGGTGCAGACAAATGACCTATTATGAGTTGGGTCCTGAATATCTCATTCTCTGACATTTCTCAGGCAATTCAGTGTTATGTCTGTAGTCTTTGATGCTGTAAAAATAAATGCACACTTGAGTGCTTTTTGCAGTGAGGCTTTAACTTTGCAGGCAGAAGTTGCTACAGCAACAAAATCAAAGAAGATACTATAAAAGTAGTGTGGTGTTGTCGTTGATTCATTCTCACTCATTTGGAGGGTATTTTGGATTCTTATCCTCCTTTTTAATAGGCCTTATCAGGCAAACTGGTTGTAATTTAGTAACATGTATGTCTGTCATATCTGCTATCATGTAAATGAATGATTGCATTATTCATTGACTTCATTACATTATAACAAGCCTGCCCCTTTTAAAATACTGCATGCTAATAAGGGTTGGGTGTAAGCAGCGCATATGTGATTCTAGTTTAGGCAGATGAGGTGATGTTTACAGCTGGAGAAAGTCATGTGAAAGACATTAGGTGTTGCACTCTACTCCTGTATCTCTTGTATGATACTGCGCACGTCTACACGAGACACTAAATGTGCAGTAGACTCATTCTACTGTGCATTAGCGCATCACTGCAAAAGCCATGCTATTGCATTAATGTGCAGTAGAATTAGTCTACTGCACATTAGCATCACTAAAAAAGTGTATGCTGGCAGTACTGTGCAGTAGTGCCTGTTACTGCGCATTGAGTTAGTACTGTTATTACAGGTACTAAACTTTAACGCACAGTAATTACAGCACATGAATGCACATGTAGACATGCCCCCACTGTGTTGTTGAAGTTGGACCCAATCACTGACTCTCTTTTGCTTCCCAAACCAGCTGGATCTGGGCAAAGTCTAGTCCACTTTTCAGCTCTGGTTCTGCTCTGAGCTCGTACAACTTATCCACCTTCCAGAACTTTCCCCTAAGTTTTTGGGAGCACAGTGTGACAGGAAAGGGAAGGGGGTTAGCAAGAGAATTTCCACCCATAGTGAATTTACTCTTACAAGTTCTAATCAGTAATAAGCTTTTGAGAGCAACAAATGGTTCTAAGATGTACTCTGCCCCAAGTCTGATCTCACTTCTGTAAGTCTGGTCTGTTAGCGTTCAGGCTGGTGGAGTTCTTCTTGTATCCTCCTGTCCTGTCTTTCTTGCATCTCTTTATGGTTGGTCTTTGATCAAAACATCATCACACTCTTAAATAGCCTCTCCTCAATTCTCACAGGCGTGCTTCCCCTTATCTTTCCTCAGTACAGGATCCCTTTATAGAGAAAACATTGCTTTATGAAGCTGGGCCAGTAATTGATAAACACATCTGATGATTCCAAATTATTGTCCTGATGGCTTCTCAGTGACAGGTGTTCAACAGGGTGGCAAACACCTTTCTTGGGCTGGACTGCTGTCTGGAATGCAGTTCAGTAGGCTTGCCTTGGGCAAATTTAGATGTGTTTTCAGCATGTATAAAATAGTGTTTATAATATGAAAGAAACATTTGAGGCAATTACTTCTCTTTTGAATAAACCATAGTTTATAACATAGCTTAACTTGTTCTGTTTAATTAAAAGATCTGGAAATGTAAGCAATGTTCCCTCTAAGGTTTAGCAATCCGTGAGCAATCCTGGCTGGGAGTTCATGGGTATCTCAGTGTGCCCACGCCTCCCCCCTCCTGCAGCAGATTGTGGCCAGGTTGGGGAGGGTGGCGAGTGGCTGGACGCGAAGCCGGCAGCAGTGGTAGGGGGAGTGGCGGTCCCCCTTTGCTATGGCACTGGGTGTCCCTCCCAGGCCGGTGCCAGAGGACCATGGCTCCCTACTGCCCTCTTCCCCCCCACCCCCCTCCATCAGTACGCCACTGTGTGCGTGGCATTGAAAAGGTATTGCACAGCATGATTTTTTATTGTGCATGGCCATGCACGTGCACAGTTTAGGGGGAATGCTGAATGTAAGTAGCTATATGATATTGAAGCAAGATAATGAACTTGACCTTTCCTCACTTCTTTATAGCAGAGTAACTCTGACATTAATAGAATGTGACTATATAGGAATGTATCATGAGCTGACGCTTAGAGTTGATACTAACAATGTAATTACCAAAAAATTAATGAAATTATGTAGTTATTGCAAAAATAGGAAATTTGTATTCCTGCCTTTAATTTCATTTTGACCTGGTGTTTATCTGAGGGGTAGAAAGGAAAATCATAGAAAATTATGGTTGGAAGGGACCTCAGGAGTTCATCTAGGAATTAGGGACCTCAGGAGCTCAAAGAAGGACCATCCCCACCTAGATCATTCCAGCCAGGGCTTTGTCAAGCTGGACCATAAAAACCTCCAGGAATGGAGATTCCACCACCTCTCTAGGTAACCTGTTCCAGTGCTTCACCACCCTCCTAGTGGAAAAGTTTTTCCTGATATCCGATTTAAACCACCCTTGCTGCAACTTGAGACCATTGCTGTTTGTTCTCTCAGATGCTGGACAAGCCAGGTCAAACTGATGTGATGTCTCTTCTGGTAAAGCACTGTTTTTGTGTTTGGGTTTTTTTCACGTTTGTCAGCAGCCTATGAGTCTAACAGTCTTCAGTGAGTAAATCTGCCGGTTGTGAAAAGCTGTCTATGTATTTAGAGCATTCTTGAACTCTTGGACTTTTTTGCTCATTTCTTGACCTTTCAGAGCTTCAGACAACAGGGAGGAAATATCCTCTAGTACTTGGATACTTGATCAGCAACACGTTAAAAAAAGAAGAAAAGAAAGGACAAGGCTGAGATCTCCATCTGTAACTCTTGCAAGCATGTCTGCGCGAACAAGGCCACTTCAGAGATTCCAGAAGAGGAAATTATACAGAATGAACAAAGGTTGTTGTTGGAATTCACAGGTAAGGGCCATCTCCTTTCCTGAAGAAGGGAAAAGCAAAGAGTCTGGTTGGCAAAGTCTGCATTCATCAGTCTAGTATTTGAGGAGCATATTGTATACCATATTGATTATTCATTACACTTAAAGAATGTACAGAATATATGAGTTAGAATATGTCAGCAGGAGATCAAAGCAAATGAGTTGAAGATAAAAATTAAAGACTGCTCAGAGTTCTGCTTATTAAATTCATTTTATGGGTCAGGGGCTGTTAAGAATTTTCTTAGGAGACTTTACTGCTGAAGTAACAAAGTAAAACATAAATCTTTTTGTTGCTTGTTTTAGAAATATTTGTTTAACTAGAGAAAGTTTGCACAGCTGGCAGTGCATTATTTTGTAGGAAATTAAACTGCTATATTTTAATCTTGTTTCCGTTTTTACCATTCCCAGCCAGTTCTGCTGTCTCTTTCATAACATTAATAGTGTCTTAAACCAGTCTGTTATAAATTAAGATTATGTTCATTACAAAAAACTGAATGGAATTAAATGCTTAAAGTGGAAAAGTCTTTTTTTCCTTGCTGCTTCAGCAAGATGCATGTTGTTCGTAGCTATGTCCATTCATAACATTTGGTATTTACAGCATGTTTCTGTTATGAACCTCTTGTTTTTAAATGGGTATACAAAATGATTAATCTTTCTGTGATTCCAAATTAGTTGTAAGGTCCTTATTAGAGCAATATTTGTGCCAAGTTGTCTTAATGCCTTTCTTTTGTTTTACTGTCCCTCTTCAAAACTATGTTGTAATGGTGCTGCTATTAAAGGCCTGTGTTACTGTGATGCATTTTCTATTCTGAAGATGCATTAGAGTTATTGAAGAGTAAGTAATCAGTGAGCTGGTGGTTTTGGGAGGTGCTTTTTGCTCTCCTGATATTTGATTATAAGCACAGTTAAGCTAACTTAAAATTTGTTTTGTGTTTTTTATTTCTTCCCTGTATGTCATCTTTCATCCCCAAATTAGATTTTGAGAGATCATCTGAAGATAAGAAAAAATATGAATATATAAAATGTATAATGCAGTGCTGACAGTCCTTCATGGGAAGGGTTAGTAAATACTATAGGTGAAATCCTGCCTCCAAAGCCAATGGCAAATTCCTGTTGATTTAATTGAAGCCACAGTTTCACCCTGTGTAGATCAGCAGGAGTTTTGAAAAATTTGAGTATAATCTGATATTCATGGATACAGTGTCTAACTACTTGCCATTCAAATGCAAAGTGTTTTACAGTATGTCTGTTAAGCCAAGGGCCTGAATTACAAATGTTTATATTAGAGTTAGACGACATTCTCTGATGGCAATATTGGTTGTTTCCCTTTGCTTTTGTCAGAGAATGGTAATTTATTAAAATCAAGACTTTCCACAGAGATGTCTTGATTTCACAGTCCATCAGAAAACAAAACAAAAAAAATTTGGACAGAAACCTTCCTGGCTCCCAGCCAGCTTGACCACCTGGTTCCTTGGCAGCCTGGGCATCTAGGTTTCAAGAATATTGGCAGCCTGCCTGATGGGCTGACAGGGAGCTAAGAGCCTGTGAGCCCCAGCTCCTAGGCTTATGTTCTCCTCAACTCTACAGCTAGCCAGGCAGAGGGCTTCCAGAATATTGCTTTTTCTTCAGCTCAACAAGTACACTGCCAAAGAATTTGGGGGTACTGTCTTCATACCTCTGGGAGAGCTGGGCCTTGGCTTAGCCAGTACCTCCAGCCATATGGATTACTCCTAAAGTTGAGACTTTCTGTGTGATAGAGGATTTAAAAATCGGGGGTTTTCATTCCAAACTAGGATAAAACCAAATTTTGAAGAAGTGAAATTCTCTGAGAAATGGAACTGGGTCTCTGCACAGCTGTAGTATTTAGATGCCTAAAAGATAAATAGCTGCCTGTTGTGTTTCCAGAAGTGCTTTAGATGTCTAAGTACCTTTGAAAATCTGGCCCAAAGTTACTATAGTGCTGATCAAGAAAGAAGCTTTCATTAAAAAAAAAAAAAACAAACCCAATGCAAGTAGATGTTTGTTAACAGGAAGATATTGATTCAGAACTTCTGCAGTGTGATTTGAGGGGCATAGTGCAAGAGATGGAAATTAAAGGTATAATTTTTCTGTCCCATTGATCAGGAGTTGAGCTGATCCTGGGTACAAATTTATGTTTTGTCCAAACTAGAAGATAAAGGTATATTGCTGTGTGTTAGCTATCACCTTCTTCAAGACTAGTGTAGACAAAGCAGCACAATTTCCAAGGATGGCAGCCTGTTCCAATAATCAAAGTTCTTAATATCCAAGCAAAATTACCTATGCTGCAGCTTGAGTCCATTCCTCCTAGTCCTGTTCCCTATAGTGAAAGAAAAAAGACCATTTCCATCCTCTCTATAATTGTCCTTCAGATGTTTGAAGACTGTTATCAAATCCACACGCACATCTCCAAATCTTTATTAGGACTTGACCCAATGGGAATTCGTAGTAGAGAAACCAAGAGTTACATATGCCTAAAGTCTTGTACCATGCTTTTTCATCTGAAATAGTTTCTTCTAACATAGTGTTGAGGAAAATTGAAGGGGCAGTGTGGAGAAGTTAGTACTGCTGCTGTGCAATATTGTTTTCTGGGAGCATACAAAGCAGTGGTGCTCCACTTCTGTCAAACTGAGAGACTTTTAACAAGTGCTAAATTCACTTAGAATTTTAAAAAAGTAAGGAGATAAACCTAGACACTATGCATCTATTTCTGAGAGATAATTCTGCCAAGAAAGACACAAAATCAGACTAGGCACTTTCAACATGTTCTGACAAGTTAGATTAAATAGTTTTCAGGTCTTTGAATTAAGAGCCATCATCAATCTATCCCTTCCTTCAAGAAAGCTTATTCTTTCAGTGGTCTAACAGGCTTACTGTCACTTTCTCTTAGCCTCCAATTGCAATGGTTGGTTACCCAGCCATTTAAGAGACCGTCAGTGTGAAATAGCAGAACACTGGGTCTCAGCCAAGGCCAATTGTTGGATTAGGCAAGATTTCTAAGCATAGGGCTGCAAAATGGGCACTGGCCCTTGGGGTTGATGCTGTTACTTTCTCATTCAATGCAACTATCTTTTTACAAAAAGATAGTCAAGCAAATTTTCTTGGTCTCACACAGAAAGATGGATTTTCCTTTAAAGGTATACAGAGTTTCAAGCTGATTGTTTTGTTGTTTTTCTTTAATTCACTAGTAGTATGACACTGGGATCTATAGCAGAAATTGACTAGATCAGGGGTGTCCAACCTTTTTGAATTTGGAGCCGGACCATGAACTTTTTATCACTCAGTGGGCTGGCGAGCTACATTCAAAGACCTCACTGGAAGCGGTATCACATCAGGAAGTGATGTCACATGACCTTTGACACCAGTGAAGTTGCAGGAAGTGACAATGAAATGGGTCTAACCAGTTCAAAACTCTCCCTCTATAGCATCTACCTCTGCCACTGTTTGGGGCAGGATACTGAGCTAGATAGACCATTGGGCTGACACTTTTGGCACTTTTTATGCTCTTATGTTCTTTGGCTGAGCTTCCAAACTATGGCTGAGATTTACAAAAAGGGGTAGATAGGCATGTTACAAAGTTGTCATAAAAGATTTGGAGCCCTCTAAATCCCATTCATTTTAATGGAAGTTGGCCTTTTGACTCAGCTTTGAAAATCTCAGCCCAAGGAGCCAACCAAATAAGTAAAAAATATATTTTGCATTTCTACGCAGTGCATCTATGTGAAGCCGGCTTCTCATGAGCTGCTGGGGACGGGAGGAGCCCGGCCGGGTCTGCGCCAGCCAGCAGAAGCGGCGGCGGAGCTGTGTACTGCTCAGAACGAGATGAGCCCGGGCGGAGCAGCAGGGGCTGAGCTGCATTTTCCCCCTGCCTGCGCCGGTGAGTCCTGAGTGGCACACAGCTCCCCCGCTGCTTCTGCTGGCTGGTGCCAACCTGGCTGGGCTCCTCCTATACCCAGCAGCATGGGAGAAGCCAGCTTCAGCTGCATGCCGCTTTTCCTGGCCAGTGCTGACCCAGCTGGGTCCATCCCATCCAGAGCAGCATGCAGCTGAAGCTGGCTTCCCCCGA